GTGTGTGTGTACTATATACAATATTTCTTGTTACAACGCATTACATATGTGAAAGTCTATCGATAATGTGCCACTGTGCACGTTACATTCATGTAAAACATTATCGAAACTGGCGTATCATTTTTATATATAATAGATAAGAAAAATTTTATAATTCGCCTAAATACATAGCTGTTTTGTTTACTACTCTATCAATCTTCCATTCTCTTATACGTGTCTCCATGTACCGTAAAGGAAAAAAAAAAAATTGAAATGAAATTGAAAAATTTGTACGAAAACAATTTGAGAGAATAGTAAAACATTAAAACTATTAACTCCAAAAAAGTTTTGAATGATACATTATTGAAATGTTCTCATAGTGACCGCGAAGCTTCTGACGAGTTTAAATACAATTATAAGCTGCGACAAATAGACTTAAATTTAAATTTTGCGCGTATAATTCGATCTATTCGATCATCACCTAATGGAATATTATGTTTGTAATCGGGTAAAGAGAAGCACCGAGACTCAGTATGGATGCGAAGCCCTATTGTGTGGCAATGACAAGCGAGCACATCGCGAATGGTTAGTTAGTGTTCGTTGTTCGATGTTAGTGGAAGAATAAAACACGAGGAAAGAAACGAGAGACAACTCAAAAAAGCATGGTAAAATATCAAAATTATTTGTAATTTATATTTTGGCTACAATTTTTATTAATAGTACTGAGACTATTGAAGATTGTCGGTATTATTTTCAGTATACGGGAAATTATTATTATTAAAGACAAAGATACAGAAGGCGTACAATTTTGGAAACTCAAAAGTGCAAATATCTTTCCATGTCACAAAAATCATAAAAAAATAAACTTTAGATTTTATTATTTTTACATAAAGATTTCTTGGATTTTTAAAGCAAAAAAATAAAATGAATGAGAAAGTTATGAAAAATTAAATTGTAACAATTAAACCAAACTAAAAATTCAATATCTGAAGTCAAATATTAGATGAAGTCGAACATTTAGGAACATAATCTTTAAATGTTTAAAATAACAATTATTTAATATATTGATTACATGAATTATAAATATTTTGATAAATAATATAATCTGATATATGTCAGTAAAATTTATTCTTTATATTCGTACTATTCTTGAATGATATTTTATGCTAAGCTATATATTTGATGGAAATTTTAATTATGATAGAAAAGCTTCCTTACACGATGTTGTTTTTGAAGCGAATTTGATATACGGAATCAATTCCGTATATTTGCAGAAGCTCTTTACTTTGGTGAAAGTCGCGTACGCTATGCTGATAATCACCTTGCTATTGATGATGTGGGCATCCGTGGTGCGAATGCATGAGCTACCGGTCCAATATCCACCCTGCTTCTTTAATCCACTTTGCACTTGTTCGAAAGCCATACCGGATCTCGGCATAGTGGCGTGCTACAACGTGCCGATGCCGCGAATACCACAATTAATTAATTCATCCAAGGTATTCATGCTCCTACTAGAGAACAATGGATTAAGATTTCTACAACCACAATACCTCATGAACACTGGTATGCAGCTGTATTAATATAATGGAACAAAATATTGCTTCGTGTCTTATTTCAATTCTACATCTATATTTTCTTCTAGTGTTTATTAAAAATTTAATTCTACATATTTAATAAAAAAGTATCTTTTATTTATTAAAAAATACATGTACAAAATTTTTATTTTTTGATATAACTATATAATATCGTTTTATTAAAATTTCCCTTTTTATCTAAAAATTATTGTTATATATTATTATAATTATTGTTATATTTTTAATTATAAACTCACTTTTGAGCTAGGGATAGACTGTAAAGAATCCGTAAGAGTTATGCATATTGTTTTTCATATATTTTAGGTCTTTACAAACTACAGATTAAGCATAATCCTCTAGCCGATATTCCAGAAGAAGCCTTTCTAGGCCTCGAGAGATCATTATGGGAGCTCGACTTGTCCTATAATCAACTTGCGAACGTACCAAGCAAATCATTTAGACATTTACAAAAATTGCGACTACTCGAACTCACAGGTATTTGCTATTCGCTTTTAATTTGAATTAAATTAATTATAAATTATACCAAATTAGACATTTTAATGACTTCTATATATAAATCTTTATTGACATCATAATTATTTAAAAGCATTATATGAAAGATAAACATTTATATTAATTTTACAAACATATAAAAATTTAATAGAATAAAATAAAAATCACGTAATTTTAAGTTTAAAAAATATACATAAAAATTACAATGACATAATAGTTTGAAAACTCTAGTATTATCGTGCAATTTTATATACAGGTAACAAGATATCTCGTATAGTACCAGAAAACTGGCGTGGTTTGGAGAACTCCTTACAAACTTTACGTCTAGGAAGAAATGCGATCGAGAAACTACCAGCTGATGCTTTTGTTAGTCTTACATATCTGGAGATCCTAGATCTTCGTGAGAATAGCTTGAAGGAGATCGATCCTTCAGTGTTCAGAGATGGGATGGCTCACTTAACACATCTTTATCTGAATGATAATCAATTGACATATGTGCCATATGCCCAATTGGCTTTATTAAAACGCATGAAAATTCTCGATCTTAGTTACAATAGGATATCAAAAATGCTGCAAATTCAACAGGAACCAGAGGTCAGAGGTATACAAATGTCCTTGGACATGCTGCAGCTAGATTACAATCAGATCGAAACCCTTGAGTCCGGTGATTTTCAGCATTTTTTCAAGGTCAATCGCACGTATCTCAGAGGTAATCCTCTGACGATGATCGAGGTACGATGCTGAATTAGAGCTCGCAATTCAAAGTAATGAGTAAAATTAAAAGAGTGTTTAGGAGATATTTGAGATATTAAGATTTAATATTAATAATATTAAATGATAATAATTGATAGTTACAAATGTTGAATATTTATAATTAAAGGAGAGCACATTTAGAGATTCACGCATTCGTGAGCTGTATTTGAGCGATTGCGATCTGTTGGAGATCAACTCAGCGAATCTTGCCGGTTTGGAATCTTCGCTTGAATTATTGGACGTATCAGGAAACAATATAACTGTGCTTCCTAATCGTCTATTCCGAGAGTTCGATTTCCTGCGTACGCTGGTCTTTCGTGAAAATCGTATCGATACTTTTTCCCCAAGTAAGTAACGCACATTTTTTACAATTGGCGGACACGAAACACACATCCTCATGATACATACTTTCAGCCGAAGTTTTTAATGGTTTCCAATATTCCTTGTATAACTTGGATCTCAGCGGCAAGCAGAACAGCATGATTTCCCTTCAAGATCTGCGGCAAATGAGAAATCTACGTTTCCTCTCGATCTCCCGAATGCCACAGGCGATCTTATCACCGAATGATTTTCTAGAATTCGGTATGGATATTAAGGAACTTCGAATAATTAATAGTAATTTGAACACGATCAAGGGTCATACTTTCATGCACGTTCGTGGGATCAAGTACCTTGATTTCTCTGAGAATTCAATATCGACGATAGATGACGAAGCTTTTTCAGAGGTACTGATAAACTTTTATTATACTTTTTGAACTTTCTCATCTTGAACTTGAGACAAGATAATTAAAATTGAAAAAAATTAATAAAATAAAGCGAATTTGTAAGATTAAATGTCCTACGTACAATAAGAAAATTATATAAACAATACAGAGTTGTCTAACAATTTTTTAAAACTCATACAGGTGGGCCATTCTTTGTTGATGTTAAGAATATCTCACGGCCTTTCCTCCACAATTTCCGAAATACCAAATCGACCATTGAAATCGTTGACGAATTTGCAGCATCTCGATTTCAGTAATAACAAAATTCGTTCCTTACCTGCTACGTCTTTCCATTTCTTGAAAAGGATTAAATGCATTGAACTACAGGATAACGAAATTGATAATATACCGAAGGGTACCTTTCAGGTAAATTGCTCGTTCTTACGGCGTATGTCTTTTATGATAAAAAATTATTTTATTTAGGGTGATATTCATTCGTCGCTAGAAGAAATTAATTTTGCGTTTAATCAAGTGAAAAATCTGCAAACTCATACGTTCGTCGATTTGTCGACCTTAATGATAATCAATTTGGAAGATAACGCCATTGAAAAAATCGAAAGACGGACTTTTATGAACATGAACCAACTTAAATATATCAATTTGCGCGGCAACAAGATTAGAGATATCACTGATGAAGCCTTTCAGGTAATTTAATATACGAATACACGTGCGATTCTAGAAGTTCTGATTACTAGAAGTTACATAGATTGTATGGGTGAGTTTGATTGTATTTAAAGCTAGATAGATTCTTAAAATTAGAAACTTAAAATTAACTAAAGATAAAAATTCTATTGCTGTTAGTTATTGTTAATATTTAATGCAATTAAAATTCAATTACATTAATTTGTACAAATAAATTAATTTAAAACATGCCAAATACATTATTGATTTTTTAGAATTTACCTGATCTTGAGTTTCTTGATCTTGCTTATAACAATCTTCATGAATTTGACTTTGCATCGTTTGATCAAGTGGGAACATTGTCATCATTCAAAGTTAATGTTAGCCATAATGAAATTTCAAAATTATGGATAAATAACACTCTTTTTACATCTTCGTCTATCGGTAAGTTTGCAATCGTCAAATACTATGTTTAATAAACATAGTATTTCATCTTTCTATTAACTTTAATTTTAATTTAACAATGATATACAATGGATATATAAAATTTAATTTTTAACTGTTTTGTCTGGTTTTATTTAAATTATTTAATAAATAATACTAATGTTATTTCTTTATTTATTTACTGTTATTAATATTCTTTATTAGCTAATATTTTTAAGTTTCAAATTTCTATTTTTAGTTGGCGGCAATGTGCAATCAAACATCAAAGTTCTAGATTTGAGTTACAATAATATCTCTGATATCGCCAAATATTACTTCAAGCCAGTCGAGTACTCGCTCACTCATCTGTATCTGTCAAAAAATCAATTGAGAAACATTACTCAAGGTATCTTCAGCAACATGCCTCACTTACAATGGCTCGACTTGAGACACAACGAACTGATGGAAATTGACTTTGGTTGCTTCAATAATACGAAGAATCTGCAAGTGTTGTTTCTTTCCTGGAACGAAATCATGGATATTCCTGCAGAGATTCTAAGACCACTGCAAAAGTTGCGCATCGTGGATTTATCTCATAATAAACTGAGAACATTGCCAGACAACATATTTACAGACTCCAGCATAGAGAGTCTTGATCTCTCGCACAATCAATTTACAAGGCTGCCCGTTAAGAGTATGTCAGTGACTTCTACTGCGAAATTAGCAAGTTTAGACATGTCCTGGAATGTTTTATCAGGGATTCATAGCACCGATACAATATTTAGACTCAGAGTAAGCATCATTTTCAGAATATTCTAAGGTACATTGAAATGAATCTGAATTATAAAAAGAAAAGAAGAATATGATTACTTACTGTTTTTTATTATTATCTAATTATATACTATTAAATAATTATTATAGATTTATATCACACATTTGTATATTTTTAATATATTATTTTTCAAGGGTCTCGTGTGGCTAGATCTTTCATATAATCGACTTGTTAGATTAGACGACGGTGTATTTTCCGATTTACCATATCTAGCTCATCTCGATTTAAGCCACAATAAGCAACTTGTTTTGGAAAGCCGTGGAAGAACGTTCTATGGCTTAGAAGATACGCTTCTATATCTAAGTCTGAGTAATATTTCTCTTCTAAGTGTGAGTATTTTATTAAATGATAATCATATAGAATGCAACATATAATTGATAATATAGGTTCCAGAATTACCTTTGAGACGATTACAAACTTTATATCTGGCACATAACGAGCTGGCATCAATTCCTCCGGAAATGTCATTGAATCTGACGTCTCTTCACTATTTAGATTTAAGTTTCAATGATTTAACAGTAGTACCATTGATCACTCACACATTGCCGGAATTGAAGACCTTCAACTTGGCAAACAATCCCATTACCGCCATTACGAATACCAGCTTTCTTGGGGTGACTGACAGTCTCGAAGAGCTTGATATACAAAGGCTTAGTCTATCAACTTTTGAAGTAAATTCTTGACTTATATTTTGAATTTACAAATCACGAATGATATGTAAATTTGAAATCTTATCACAAAGATGAATTTTGTAATCAATTTTCATAGGCAGGTGCATTCTGCAAAGCCAGCAAACTCCGTAAATTGCACATCACTGCATACAACGATATAAAGAATTTCAATTTTCCCAACATTCTGAAATATAATCATGGTTTAAAACATTTGCTCATTGATGTGAGTATTAAGTAAAAATATTATACTATAAGAATTAAATTTACTGCATTTAAGCTATTTGTGATAGGTTCAAAATGACACCGATTTAGAAAAGGAAATGAGGGGAAAATTACCCTATAAATTGTACAACATTACATTGACTGGTAAATCTTTGAAGAATATACATCCAGAGATATTGCGCGTAAGTTTCCGCTTGATTAATTCCTCTTCAAACTTTATGTAAAATTTTGTCAGATCTTAAAATAAATTTCATGAACTTTTCTGTGAATATTTTTTTCCATTTAAACAGAAATTTAACTAATTTTTTAGCTCAAATTTAACTTGTCCAAATTTTTATTTAATCTTTATAGGAAAATACAATTATTGTCATTAGTATGTAAGAGTCTTAGATATTAGTATTAGTAAATATTATTTAGAGTTAATAGACACTTATTTTGAAGTATATTGAAGTATATTGAATAACTTTTTAGGGCATGCGAAATCCGCATCTTCATTTTGGCTTGTACAATACCAGTGTGACGATCGTGCCTCGGGAAATATTCAGAAATGCACAACATGTGCGCAACGTAACAGTGGAGATTCGCGATAGTGATATTCGAACGCTGCATAATCCATCATCCGGTTACAAACCAGGAGTACCAAGCGAACGATTCCTCATGAAGCTTCGATTAGCAGGCAGTCATCTCAATTGCGATTGCGATATTGGGTACGACATAATAAAATTGGATTCTTATGATAAACTATTTATAAACATTAATGGTAATATACATTTAAGAAAAACGAAATTAATAAGCTATAATGCCATATCGCCTCAGTAGTATTTTAATTACAAAATAATGATGAAAAACAAAGTGCATATTATTTTGTATTATAGTATAGTTGGATTTCAAAATTTGTAAAGTTTTTATGAATGTTTTCTTGTGACTTTTCTTATGCAATTTTTTTTATTTGTAAAATTTTTATTTGTAAAATTAATTTACTAAAATAACAAGTAATAAACGATATTATTTTTTTTACATAGATGGATAGAAGTATGGCAGAGGAAACACAGACAATACCGAGAGGATCGATGTATCTCTTATGATGAATTTCATAATTTCGAGCATGAAGAGGATGACAAGTTCAATTGTTGGGATAATGGTTGGGATGATGATATCCGCGAGACATTTTGTCTAAACAAAAATAATGTATCGTTATCGAACTTGTTAAAAACGGAGCTAGAATGTGGCTGGGGCGCGGCAAGTCACACTTTGAGACTGAATATTATCGTTTTCTTGGTATTTTCGGTCGTTTTAGTTGTCGTTTATTAATTCGATTTCATTGTTTTCTATTTAATACTCTCAAATTAATTTATGATATTTTATTATATTAAAGGAATAATTAACAACTAGATTATTAGGCGTGTTCATAAATTTGTACAAAGCAAAACCACAATTAAAACTACAATTAAAAAATTTCTCCAAAGGTAACACCGTCATATAATTTTATTCATATTTTACAATATCGCAATTTCATTATGCATTACAAGTTTAGCTGCAATGTTAATTATCATTTGTATAATCGGCAAAATGATAAAGCTAAATATAAATATAAGACAAATGTATATGCTAAACAATTGTATGATGAGGATTGTAAATTTCACTGTCGCTTGCTGAAAATTCTTGGTCCTGCGTATGTTGATTATCTTGTCCAACACAAATCTCAATATGAAAGAAAACATCTGAAATATTTCATAGGATTATACATTCAATATCTTAGTTTTGTTTTACTGGCATAGAGAATTTAAAAATGTGCTTATAATCACTTTAATAACAGGAACGACATTAACGATCACATATATTAATGCCAGAAGAGATCGTGCCGTAGCTTGAGCCATAACTACAATCAAGGCAGCGTAAGAATATTCAGTGCGCGGTGTACCACAGGATTCTTGATAGGTAGCTAAGTATTCTCGACAATCAGAGAGAATGCTTCGCTTTGTTCTTCCTTCCTGAGGCTCGTCCTCTTTGAGAACATTCTCTATAATATTGTACAACGATACACGTATGTATGATGTTTATTTTTTTCTTATTCATTTTTCAATTATTTCTTAATTTTACATTTCTTAATTTTACATTTTAAAAGATAGACATTTTTGATATATATTAAATCAATTTGAATTGTCAATATAAGATTTTGATTATTGTAAAAATTTATACATCAAACAATAAAAATATATAAGCTAATATTGAAAACACAATCAAGATTAATTATTTAAATAACATAGCTATTATGAAATTATCAGAATTTTATTAAATAATTGATTATTGATTTATAAAAAAAGAGTAATATTTCACCATTTCAGTTATTGTGTTTGTGTATTTATTTACCTAATGTATTAATGGATTTTTTACTATCCATATGATTATTAATAGAAATGCTATATGGATTTTTATATTTCCATGAGATATATTCAAGTTGTTGAATCACGTTGCTTTCAGATATGGATGTATCATATTTTCTGGCAAATGAATTTTCTGTCTTGCTTGACGTATTCGGAAATTTTTCTGTATCGATTACATTCATTGATTGAAGAGACAAATTTCTTTGAGCCAATGCAAATCTATCCTTTCTATTAGAATACTTGAGCTCATCAAAGATCTAATAACAAACAAAAATTATATTTATATATATCATATTATTTATATTAATAATAGTGTGTAATAAATTTTCGTGTATTCATATCCCTTTTACTTTTCTGTGCAAGCCAAAATCATCTGCTTGTTGATATTGTTCATTTCTTACAATAGGATGAATGGTGTTCAATTCACAAGGAGCAGCTTGAGCGATTTGCTTTTCTCCGACATGCATACTCGCGAAATTTATATAAATTATTTATATAAAGCTTGAAATTACATGAGAAATCAAAACTAAATAGATTTATCGAATCTATCAAACATTCATTTTTCTATGAATTGTGAATACAGCATGTTTAGGCGAAAAATGTGAAGTTATCGCTTCGGCATCGATTACTTTTTTTTGTTTTTTGAAAACAAGTAGAAAACAGTAAAAATTACATTAGTAGAATATTCGTATTTAGTGACTGTATAGCTATTAATATAGCTAAAATAGCTGTAGTTGTATTTTACCCCTTTGTAAATAAACTGTCGCAGTCGCTAATTTCTTTAATATTAAAGATTGTAATTCTTTAGAGAATATATTTTTTTATCAATTCTTTAGAGAATTTTATGCACAATATTTATTATGTTATTAAAAATGAAACTGCCGATAATAATAATTAAATCATAATTAATAATTTAATCATACATGATAAGCGTTTTTTTTGGCGCTCATATGGCGCTTTTTGTTATCTGTGATATTTTATTATCTGTAAGTGTCGGTCCACAATAGGTGATTTAAGCTTTAAGAAGTAAGAAATTGACCAATTATAATCGAATATGAAAAGAATAATCGACTTATTCTTCTGATTGGTCAATTTTTTACGAAAAGATTAAGTATTTAAAGATTAAATACTTATTGTGGACCGACACTAATGGTAGGAAGGAGACAAAGAGTCTGTTCTTTTTAGCTGAACTAGCTGCACTAGTTCAGAGTTTATCTTTCTTCTTCTAGTGTAAGAAAGAAAGATAAATTGTGAACTAGTACTAATTCAGAAATAAAAAACAAATCTAAGTGTCGGTCCACAATAAGTGATTTAAGCTTTAAGAAATAAGAAATTGATCAATTATAATCAAATATGAAAAGAATAATCGACTATGATTGGTCAATTTCTTACGGTTTAAAGATTAAATACTTATTGTGAACCGATACTAATCGAATGTGAGAAAAATGATCGACTATGATTGGTCAATTTCTTATGCCTTAAAGATTAAATACTTATTATACTGAGACTAAAGTATGCTCGACAGGTAGATCCAATTTGAATCTAGTCTGCGCAGATATGTTGGAACAAGTCGCCTTCCATATGGAAAAATAATAGTAAAATTAACTAAGATTTGTGATTACGTGACATATGATTTGATAATTTAATAATTATTAATAATAAAGTCACAATAGTAGTTAATTAAATAAATTCATTAATTGTTTATTCCTTATTTATGCTACATTTTGAATATCGCTAATTGGCTGATTAATATGGTCGGCTACTTGTTTCACCATCCTCATTGGTCCATCCCCGCTTTCATGCGCAAGAGCACATTTTTGTTTCTTTACATCATGTGTGATACGTTCCAGAACTCTACTCGACGCATAGAGTAAAATTCGCAGCATTTACTTGACCAATCAGAATAAAAAATGTGAAGATTTCTTATCAATATTTTTTTAGATCTAAAAGAATATACCAATCAAAAAGATCTAAAAGATTTAAAAGAATATACCAATCAAGAGCTTAGCAAGCACGCAAATCCAGTTAGCAAACCAGCAGGAAAAAAAGCATCGTATGTCGCTAGCTTTAGTTCTGATTGATCAATTAAATACTTCTTTAGTCCCGGTCTACGATAGGTGATTAAGGCTCGATTGCACCAATGTTATTTTGAATTTTAAGTGGTATTTAATATATAATTTGTGTCACGTATATTATGTATTAAGTCTCGCTTAAAGTCTAAATAATATTGATGCAACTGGATCTAAGACTTAAGCCATAAGAAATTAACCAATCATAGTCGATTATTCTCTTATTCTGCGATTATGATTCGTCCATTTCTTATAGCTTAAAACTTACTACATCTATTGTAGACTGGGATTTATCCGTTGAGTAGGATTTTGGAACGTAGTCTTCTTTGCCGGTGCTTATTGATGATGCCGATAGATTTGGCGGTTTAATGGCTCCATCCATTAGCTTGCTTATTTTCAAAAGAGGTTATATAGCTGAGGATCCGTGAGGATTTTTCGTGACGAATTTTTGTAACATTGCTCTACGTTAAAAACAATCAGTCAAAATGGTAAGCGGCGAAAATTATCATTATTAAGTTAATTATAATTCAATGGCTTTTTAAGTCTCCGAATTGATCTGCTTGAATTTTTCTGCATTGGAAACTTGAGCAGGCTTTTCTAACCAAAAAAGAACACTAGACGAATAATTGAATGAAAATCTGTAAAATAAGAATTATATGATGTTTTATATTATATAATAAAAGACAAATGATGAGAATAGATGCTAATAATATTTTAACATATTTTTTGTATTTTCAAAAATAAAATCATTTGTAGTTTTCAATAGACATATATATGGATAAAGTAAAATTGTATAAACAGTTTCTTTACTTAAAGTGCTGATATAAAAAAGATCAAGAACAGTAATAAAAAGCTTTCATTTTAAAATTTGTAACCTTGCTAGCATTCATTAATTGAGATTTAAATAACAAAATGTTTTTATTGACATATATAAAGATCTCTAAATAAATTATTAATATAATATATATTTTTTTAATGTTTTATGAGTATACAATTGTTAATATATGAAGCTATATATCTTTTGTATAACAATTTATTATTTCTATTTCATTATTCTACTTTATATTTATTTGATATATTTTATTTTTTAGACGATTGGCAAGAATAATAAGATGCTGCAACATATTAATTACCGAGTTAGAATCATTCTACAGGATTCTAGAACATTCATAGGTACATTCAAAGCTTTTGATAAGCACATGAACTTGATACTTGGTGATTGCGAGGAATTTCGTAAGATCAAACCGAAGAATACAAAACAACCAGAAAGAGAGGAAAAGCGTGTGTTAGGTTTTGTACTTTTACGTGGCGAGAATATAGTCTCCTTGACAGTAGAAGGTCCACCACCTCCTGAAGAAGGATTGCCCCGAGTACCGATTCCAGGAGCAGCACCAGGACCGGGCATGGCTCGTGCTACTGGTAGAGGTATGCCTGCAAATGTTGCGGGAGTACCGGCTGGATTGCAAGGACCTGTGAGAGGCGTTGGAGGTCCATCTCAACAAATTATGACACCTGGCAGCAGGGGACAAGTTTCAGCGCCACCTCAAATACATCCTGGTGGTCCACCACGTATGCCAGTTGGTGGGCCGCCACCAGGTATGATGGGACCACCAGCTGGAATGATGGGTAAGATCTTTTTTTTTTCTTTAATCTGAATATCTTTTCACATTGACTGCTGCTGAAAAATAGAATATCTTCTTGAAGTACTTAGCTTTTTTATTTGGCAAAAAACTTTAATTTTGTTTGTGCTGTCAAATTCAATTATTAAACAATCTGATATAAATTAGTATCTGTTTATAAAGTTCTTTACTAGAATAAGATTTATAAAAACAGTTCTATATTTAATATATTTTTTATGTAAGATACTACAGAAAATGCTATGTGCACATTATTTTCTGGCGTTATATTTTTCAATATTAAATATAAAATTCAGATCAGTTCTATTAATTTATGTCACAGTTATATGTTTACATCATGTTATGAGCAAATGTCATGACATGAAGAAAATTATTTACATAATCATATATTTTTAACATTTAATTGACTATAAAATACTCTGAAGAAAATATGAAATGAAATATTTTCACACAACTTGTAATCTTATCCGTAATGACAGCTACATATACATATGAAAAATATACAAGTTGTCAAAATATATGATCTTTGTGTTAACTATTTCTTCACACAAAAACGCGGAAAAATGGCAATAATTAAGGCTACATTTTTCATTGCCAATACTGAAAATATAATAATTCATATCATATAATTATAGATGTTCACTGGCAATGCATAGAATGCATAATTTCTTATATTGCCTTTTTGAAAGTGGATAATTTTAAATCTGTTAAATCTGTAAATCTTTTATATATCTATTAAATTATATAATTGTAGAAGTGATTATAAAGTGCTATGTTTCAATGTATTTACAGGTATGCCTCCAGGAATGCCGCCTATTGGACGTGGTGGCCCACCGATGGGACCACCTGGCATGAGAGGTCCACCTCCAGGATTGATGCGTGGTGGTCCACCCCCTCGCCCGTATTAACAATTAGATTATTAAGAGATATTCATGAATGGATGAACGCATGATTGTTTCTTTACAAAAGTATAAATTAATATTGTATAATTTTGGCACTTATATACAATAATAATATCAATTAACACAATTGGAAGTCAGATTTTTACAAATGATTAAATTATCCTATTTGTTCTGCATATATAACGATGAGATATCGATTATTTTCAATCCTTTTGAAATCTTATAAAGAGTGAACATAGGCATACGAATATAAAATATACACATATAAATATAAACATACGGATATATATTTATAGATGATAATTATATCAGTATGCTTTCGGAACGAAAATATCAGCCTTGCCGTCGTGCAATGATGATTACGAAATACGTAATGTGAAATACGAGATCCTTAATTGTTACGAGTCACCATGCTCGTCTATCTGATTTACGGTTACCAACGATCTTGATGATTTCTCCAAATCGCAATTTTCATCATTGTTCATTAGGTACTGGAAGTTTTGCAGATTTTTCGTCAATTCAAATGTTTTTGTGTTAAGTATATTTGCGTCCTCATCGGATTTTTCTACTCGAATATTACCCTCAATGTTATCTGTGGAGAACATAAGTAAACGTAATTTTTTCACAACATTCTTTTGATAATTTGATTAAATTTTAATTGAGATACGTGCATTTTTTTATATACTTGTATAACTAACATACCTTGCAGTTGCTTCGGCCTGACGAGTATTTCTTTGCTGCCCGGCGATTTCGGATCTAGCAGGTTGATTTGAGAATTCATGCTCGCGACAATATCATTTTTTGTTCTATAAAAGAAAGATAAATATTAATGAAAATACTCTTAAGATTTGACATATCAAAAAATTAGTTGTTTTATCTGCGCATCACTTTTGTACTAACTTATGCTGTTTTTCTTCCACTATAGAAGTAATCGCGGAATCTACTTTCAGAGACGACTCGCGATCAATCGTATTTTTGTCGCTATTGCATTCTTCATTTGGCAAGCGTGCGTTTGCATCTTGTATCACAGTTTTGGGTTCAATATTAACAATAGCGGGCGAGTCGAAAAGCTGTGAGAGAACCTTGTTCTCCGGAACGTCGTGTCGTAAACGCGTGACCACAGACACAACCGCTGCTTTTCCAGACTACAAAATGTAATCATATATGCATATATAACATTAAAAGATGCAACAAATTAAACAAAGATAATAACGATGGAAAATATGAAATATAAAAAAAAATCACCTTTATATTCGTTTTAACAGATTCAATATTTTGTGGCGAGTTTGCAGTCGGTAGTATAGTCTTTATTTGATCTCCATTATTCAGAGAAATATGATGGGGTTGAACATTGATCGAATTCGCATTATGTTGGCTCGTAACGCATAGATTCTTTCCTCCCATTATTACTTTCCCCAGTACTTCCTGGAATAATCAGTAGAGCAATCAATATGATAAAAATCTCGAGTTTTATTTTATCTTTGGATTTATTATTAGAATACCTTGCCTGCATGTGATAGTGTTACAGCTTTTGCTTTCTGGATGACAATCACGTTAGTCTTATTTAATTTAGTATTAGTATAATGAGGCATATTTACAACTTTCTTGGGAAAAATACCCTGAAAAAAGCATTTGTAATAAAATATATACATTCTTGATAAAATAATTATAATTAAAATAATTTATAATATTCTTATAATACCTTCAATATGAATAAAAAAAAGCAGGATATAAAAATATTTCATAAAATCACTGCAGCGTATTTACATTTACCGTTTTGGCAGTGGATTGATGATCAAAGTTTACAATTTGTTCGGATGGCAGTTTCTTACACATTAATGCTATGGGAACTTGTTTAACTTGAGGTGGCCCAGGGCCACTCGATACTGTAGTACCAGGATACACAGGCACTGATTGCGTAAGCCGAGAACCTAAAAATTTATTTAATCTTGTTTATAAAATTTCTATATTTAAGTAAAAATTAGAATAAGGCATACGAAAATTAAAATAAAGCCTCATATGAAAGCAGTTAACTTGCAGTTAGTAAGTTTTAAATTTGAATCTCATTTTAGCTAAATATTTTATTAAAAAATTCTTAAAATGTGAAAATTCAAAGACTGTGAAAGAGTACAAAAGTGGATGGAAAATTACTGTCAAGTGTTTTATCATTTTATAAAACATTTACATAAACGGATGAATAAATATTCAATACTTACTCGATACGTTAGTATTTTGTATGATTGGTGTCACCGAGCTCTTCACGCATGATAAATTTGAACTAATATCGTCAGATACTTGGATTTTCTGTATGCTATCTGTAAAATAAAAGAGACTAGTGTTTAAAATTGTGCAAAAATCAATTGTCACAAAATTCAAAAATTAAATACGATTTGAGATACATACACGTGCTATTTTGCATTTCTTTACTTGTAGAATGCAACTTATTTGTATTATCGGATACATCATTGGATATTTCCGGTACTACTTTTGTACTGATTTTCTGCTCAGTGCTTACTACCGTCTTAGGATTGTTGGCATTGCTTGTATATACGGAAGTTGTTGTAGCAACTATAGGTTTGTTTAATGGAACTACAGTGCATTCGTTTAGGTGTTCTGACACTGCTGTGTTTTCGTTCGAATCTGAGTTTATGAAAATAAAATAATTGAGAAAATTACATACGTAAAAGATACATATAAGATATTAGAATATATAAAATTTTGGTTTTAAAATAATCATTTGTTTGCTTTTTATAATCCAACAATGCACATGAGGATGATATTAATTTAATTTCCGAGGAACTTATATAAAAATAGTAAGATAAAAAAGAAACTAACCTAAGATCTCGTTACCAGTAACCGTAATTAACGCAAAATTTTGATGTTTGGTTACTTGTAATACTTCTGATGCTTGCTTATTTTCAGAGGTCCACAAAGTATGGTTTGGTGATTCAGATACTATTAAAACTTTATTTGGTGGTGCCGTCGGCAAAGGGGAAGGAGATTTACGTTTCAGAGAAAATTTCTTCTCATTAATTTTACCAACGACATCTTTGTTATCTATCCTCTCATTTTCAGTCAAATTTGAATTCTACGAATTATAAATAAAATTATTAATAAAACATAAGATATATTGTAAAACGTGGATATAATACAAACGTTTATTTACAAAATTGCAATTAGGTAATTGCTTTATCATATTTTCACTTACTTCCTGTAAGGTTCTACTCAAATCATTGAACTCATTTTCAAAGCTGTTCAATTTTGCATCAGTAGATAAATTTTCTTCCATTTTCATTTTAGAATGAGATTCAGTTTCAGCAGCTATTAACATAAAAACATATAATAAATATAATTAAAATATATAATTAAAATAAGCTATCATCACACTTATTACTTATACCTGTCAAGTTCCCAGATTGACTAATAGTATTGCATCTATCTAGCTTCTCGTTTGCAATTGCAGTTGTAAGAGACAAGCTATTTGCTAATGCTGTAAAGGCAGATCGCGCCTTTAACCTTGGCAAAAGAGGAATAGTTCTGCGACCTTCTAGAGTCCAATCCGTACCAGTATTCGGACCATTAAGTCTATATAATCATAAGTTTACATTAAAGAAATATCAATTTTCCATAATATTGTACTTATCAATTGTGTTCCATACTACCCAATTTCATTAAATCTTATATAATATTCTTATACACATTATGCAATCAACACCTCTTTTTATTTTGCAAGCCTTAATCAGCCTTATTCTACAGGATACATACTGTTCTGCAATTGTTGCAAGCTTTTCATCATTTACAGCTCTCCGTACTTCAGCACGATGTCTTTCATTAGAAATATGTAATACTTTAGCAAGTTCTTGTAACAATTTCTGTTTCTCACTAGTAAAAGGGCCTTGAGCTCGCAGGACAGAGACCATACTTCCATAAGCATCTAATTCTGTAATACAGAAAAAGAACATGTTCTATAAAAATTAATAAATCATGCTATATATATATATATGTGCATATATAAATATAAATGTATATGTGTATAAATATATATGTGCATATGTGTGTATGCACGCATGTGTGTATTTGTCATTCGTATATTTATCTAAAACTGAAATTTATCATTAGAAAAATAAATTATATTCTAATAAATAAAATAATCAAATTGTGAGTCATATCTATGTTAAATTTTTTTATATTTTATAAATTTATATTTTATATTATTTTATAATTTTATTTAATTTTAGATCATATAATCATATATCAAGTTTTTTGTATTAAATATATATATATATATATATATATATTGTAAATATGTATATACTTTTTTAATATATTTTCTAAAAAATACTTATAAATATATAATTTATTAGATATGTTTTAATATATCTAAAATATTTGTATAAATTATTTTGATAATTTATTAGAAGAAAATGTGCTTTTTGCCTATACTTCGTCATCTTACATGCGCATAGAAAATGAGCTCAGAAATAAGAAATTGAATGTTCTTATCATCATCCATGTATAATCTAATTCCATTGCTATCTATGCAATACAAAGATTATTTTCCAAATTTTTAACATGAAACAAGAGTACATTACAGTTAGTTTAGACTCTAAACATTGCCAAAATAATGCAAGCGTGTATTTGTGTCTTCCAATGTGGTATTTCGTTCTCCTTCCTTGGCCATGGTCCATCAAGGGACCGACACAAGTCAGAGAGTATTATATTTAGGGATCGTCAGAGGGATCAACTTAATGGATCATCATATTTAAGAACCAAAGAAAAGACGAAAACTCGGCTTTCCTGTCAAGTCATAACCGCCGTCGCTGGACGCGTTATTGGTTTCCTAGAACTCTCAGAGCGAGTTCTATTCTCGCTCCACAGAGGAACACATGAGGCAAGAATCGTAGCCCTCAATGAGTCGCCCTACTTCGCCGTAGCAGACGAGTGCGACGAACAGAATATCTTTGCGTCCAGCGACAGCATTTTTACGGACGATATGAGAGTCGAAGTGCGAACGTGAGACAGTAACAAGGCCGACTCGCTCGCTCGCTACGCTAACAAGGCTAATAATCAATCTACATAACCTTACCGAGATATCGTAGGCACTTCCTGCACTCGTCGCGAGTCATCTCTGGCCGCATCGGCCACATGATTCCACGACTCTCCCGCAGCCAAGTCCAAGTCACATTCACAGAGCAAAATCGGCGCGCGTCTTCCAGCGCATTTTCGAAAGCTCCGTTGACAGTCGTGCGAATCGACGGCGTGAAGTTGTCGAGCTAGTGCTATTTTATTACCATAGTTATTTGTGACGATCGCCACGACGTTGGCAACTTCGGTAAATTCGTGCGCATGCACGTCACTGCCGTGCAATGAACTTGGATTCTGTTGGCCGCTGCGAATCGATCATCCAAAGGTTCTCCAATCCGAAGAGATATCGATGAATGTCGCGAGTCCGCGTTTTTCAAAATATTTGTCTCTGGCCCATATTCTGACTCCTTTTTTTATCAATAAAAATGCCTCTAAAAGTGATTTACAATCAATCAGAAGGGTTACAAGCCATTTTTAAAGGCATTTTCATTGATAGAAGAGGATTTAAAATATGGACATTTATTTTTTTATTTTTCTTCTTTCTAATTTTAGAAATTAATTCATTTGAAATAGAAAAATTTATATTTTAATTCGATTATCTTCCACTATGCTTCTTTTCCGTTCCGTTTTTTTTTCCTTGTATACGTGAAATTGCATTCTGATTTCAATTTAAAATTAGGTTTTGCGAGTTCATTTCGATTCAAATTGAAATTTGCGATCTTGACAGAACTTCAAATCATTCTCGACAATCGGTAGTGTCATCAGTTGCAGATTAACAATGCTTATAGGATAACGAACATGGGGGGTCAACAAAGAAATAAATTTATTTCATATCATCACGCAGCAGAGATTTCTCTGAATCACTGTTCATAAACATTATCAAACATTCTCTCATATGGCGCGGCTTGTAGCAATTCGTTATTAAAATTTTATATATCATTATATTCAGAGAAGCACAACTGGTAATAAGAAAAAGTGTATAATCTAGAAGTGTATAATCTAAAAGTATCATAATCTAGATTGATTTTCTGACAGGTTTTTAAAAAAGAATTTTTGTTATAAATTTTGTTATAATATTTAAAATCATGAGAAGATGATTATGACGTACTTTACATATATGGTAATTATTTTCTATTTGATGTACACATAATTATATGTTGAAGATCAATTTGAAAAAATAAGAACAGATGATATAAAAAAATTGAAGTCATGCGCTATACCTATCAAATTTCGAAAAGTCTCTTAGTGATTGAATTGATTCTAGAATTAATAAATTATATTATTACTACTAATAATAATAATGTTATTGATTATAATTTAATAAATATTTTTATTAAATCTAAGATTTCGCATATATAAATTTATATAAATTTCATTCTCAAGATGATATTCCGTCTGCTTTATTAACTACCACTATTATCATTTCAATATCTTTATTATCAATCGTCTCAGCAATATCTCCACACCATCACAATCTAAAATCTCCAGCTGATCAATTCTGACAGATGCAAAGAAATTCTTTGTTGATATATTATAAAAAAAAGATAATAATAATTTAATAATAAATCTGCAATTTAATTATTTGATAATAATTAATTAATAATATTACTCATACTAATAATTTATTCATAATAATTTAATCAATATCTTGCAAATTTCATTTGGCAGCCAATATGAACACACATAGATAAATATCTAAGTAAATATTGTCCTTGAAGAACTGATATATAATTTCTTCGAAAATAATTTTCTATTCTGTAAGAACATTATCCATCTGCAAATGATGCCATTTTCAATTCAGAGCTCATTGCGATACTGACATAAGTTGGTTGCGTTTCTGATCGTAGTGATATGTGGGCCTCTACTCGTTATTACCTGACGCGCGCCCGCGCTCACGCTGCCGTGCACGCGCGCGCGCGCGCGCGCGCGCACGCACCGTTCAGCTGATCCACGGTCGAGGAGTGAAAGTGTTCCGCATATCTGTCGAGCCGTGAAGACTGGTGAAGACTGCGGGGCTTGATCCGTGTCAGTGCGTGAGCACGATGCGTCGGATCCGAGATGGTGACGTTCGGCCGAATCGAAAGTTCCTAATGCAACTTTAGGTAGTAACACGACAATATTGTGCAAAAGTAGAAGTCAATTTCTCGTAGACAATTAGTGATATATATTCCTCTCTTTTTCTTTCTCTATCTCTTTCTCCTGTGCGAGTGTTTTCTCTATCTCTCTTGTGTAGCAAAGAAAGCGAATTATACTTAGCTTTTTTCTTCACTCAAGAGTTCTGTAAAAGTGATTTTCTATTCCAATATTGCAATATAATAATACATAATAAATTTAAAACAATTATATTTTATAATATGATTAAGAATGAGGAACGAACATACATAAATCTGTTTCTTTATATGACTGTAATATTTAGATTCATTCTCTTGTTTGTATATGATATTTTAATTTACATAATTTTTTCAGCAGCCTGTTTCTTGAGATTCGCTCATGGAAGATAGATTTAGATTAGACGGGGTTTTCAGCAGTTGTGGCTCTAATATATGCATTTGAAATTTCTTGCCAAGTGGATGTAGAATGATGATACAGCATCTGATGAACACATACTTCGATATGTCCCATTGTTGATATCTATCATAGAAGAATTATTTCTTTAACAATTCTGCCTTTAAATATGGATGTTGGGAATTTTTTTTCACATGTATATAATGCAATGTTATTCATGCAATAATCTGGATCACGTTTATATTTCATATTTGTTGTGGGATAGACTGCATCCTCAACAATAGTAAATCTAATATGGAGAGTTTGCAACTGGTTCTGGTGGCTATCTTTACATTTATCTGCGGTGTAATATGTACCCTTGCATTGCAATTTTACCTATTCAAGAGATATTTGGAATTGGGCCCTCAGGCCGATCCACCACAAAAACAGTTACAGCATGGCAAAGCGCAATTACCTAAAGAGCTGATGGAACAGATGAAGGAGCAACATGCAAACTCTAATAATAGTATGACTCGACAAGCAATGTCCCAAGGCAACGAGAATCTGGCCATAAACCTCACGCTACAGTTCCTCTTTAACGAGCTGCGGAACGCTGAGCGAGTACGTCTGTGGCTTTATAGGAAATTAAATAACGAGTTCAAGGAGCTCCTGACACAGTCGACCACCGCCAAACTGTTAGACAGTGTGAAAGTAAGAGACTTAACAATTGAAATAATTTTGAAGCGACATAATAAATTGGTTTTGTATAATATATTTTCTGGAATTCTTTACAGTTGAGAGACTTGAACCTCGGTACTCAATTTCCTACGATAAAGGGCTTGGAAGTCGCCGATTCAAAGATCGATGCTGATACGGGTTTACTGGAGTCTCTAGACTTGGCCTTAGATTTACATTATTCAGGAAATTTTCAATTATCTATAGATGTTAAGATGCTGCTCGGCAAAACAGCCTATATGGCATTGCAAGGTATTATCATGTATAGTAAGTGTGTAAAAAAAGAAAATATATAAAAAAAAATAAAATATCGATTATCGATTTTCATTTCAGTGAAACGTGTCAGTGGTAAGGCTAGGCTACAGTTTACTCGTGTACCATACACGCACTGGTCGTTGAGTTTTTATTCGGATCCTGTTTTGGAGCTGGAAGTACAGTCGCAATTCCAAGGTCGTCAGTTACAACCGCAGATAATTTCGATCATCACTGGTCAGATCAGGAGAGCGGTGAAGCGGAAGCATACTTTACCTCGTTATAAGATGCGTTACAAACCATTTTTCCGAAGATTGAATGACGAAGCTGTAGATCTCTCCGAGGTAAAACTTCTTACGTTTTTATTTAATAAATAAAATTCACTCGTACATTCATAAAAATTTTGGTTTGAAAGAAGAAAAATCACAGTTTTTATAATTTTAATTTCTATAAGAGATTGTTGTAAAGTATTTCTAATTATTCCTAGTACTTTGTTACAATATACATTGTCTCAAATTCAGGTCGCCAATACTCAGCTCACTCCAGGATACTTGGAGGTCGTATTACTGGAGATTAGCAGATTAAATCTTGCACCTATCGTCTTCAGCAATGGCGAGGACATATCGCAAGTAGAAGTGTACTGCACCATGAGCATGGATTCTACGCCATGGATTTATTTAACGCAGTATAACGGTGTTCCATACATAGTGCTAGATTTAATCATTAGTAAGACGGGCTCTCAGCAACTAGGTGTGGTGTTTAAGCAAGAGATAGTGCCCGAAGTCGGTCAGATGTGTGTGCTGGTGGAGACCATAATATCTGGCAGTCCGGCAGCGATCGCCGAGATGAAAAAAGGCGATATTTTGATAGCAGTGGACGGCAAGAGGGTGTCGAATATGAACCAAGTAGCGAAATTTGTCAAATCCGCTGTACAGCGGCGTTTCATCATCAGAGTGGAGAGGCGATACTCGAAAGCAGATTTAAATGAAAAAGGACAAAAAACGGATAATGAGAAGATGCTTTTTACAGAACGGAAAGCATCGAAAAACGATTCCGTAAGCAGGATGGACAGTCCAAATGCGGAAGATGCCGGAAAGATGAAGTTTGAGGCACAGATTAAGTTTTCTGATCTACGAGATTCCGACACTGATATCACAGATACCCGGTCGGAAACCGGTAAACTATTCAAGAGAAGAAAGAGCAGCATTCAAACAGAGGAAGTTGCCCAGACGCCCGACACTACGCCGTCTCGACGGATTTCCACGATCTCCACGTCCTCGGCGTCATCCAGCAATGTTCAGTTCTATCTTCCGGACGATAGTAGCGCGATCAACATTGCCGATTTATGCCATAATACGAAGGAAAAGCCGTACGCTTCCCTAATTACCTTTGAAGAGACCAAAAGCTTTCGGATCGATTCCGAATTGCAATATTTGAATGTGGGTGTGTGGGGTCGTGTGAAAGGAGGCGATACACCACCGAGATTGCTGGGTTACATAAACGCGCCTGTGAAATTGATCTTGGCGCAATGTTGCACTTCCACAACTGGGCATTACCTAAAATGTCATGCTTTGTTGCCTCCAGAAAGTAGTAAGTTTTGGAAGATATTTTTTAATCGTATTTCTTATATATGTGTGTAACTAATAATTTTTAAATCGATAATTGATTTAAATTTTTTGGATGGAATTCAATAAAAAGAGAATAAATTTTTTGCATATTGAAAATTTGTTTTAATTTTTGAATTAATTACAATTAAAATAAATAATAATTATAAATTTTTTTAAAGCTTCTTTAGCGACGTCCTACATAAAACTGCAGGGTTATTCGGGATTCGATCCGACGCTCTGTTATGGCGACATTCTGCTATCATATGTATGGGAGTCCTGTCAGCCAAGCGAGCATACGACCAGTGATTTCGGAAAGAAGGAGAACACAGAAACTGCCAACATTCAACCGATTTCAAATGAGGAAATCGCCGACAGAAAAATGCATGATTTTATTAGGACGCACTTTCATAGGGCCACACATTGCGATTTTTGTACGAAAAAAGTACGGATTACAAGATTAAATATATTCATTTATAATTTTTTAAACTACTTATGTGATATAAAAATCCCAGTTATATATTTTTATAATGTAAAATAGAATAAAATATTTATTCCTCTTCAGCTTACAATGCCAAAAGAGGATATAATTTTTGTAATGTAAAATTTTATAATCCAAGAGAAAGAGAGAGAAAGAAATTTGTGTTATCTAAATTAAAAAAGATAAATCTATTTTTATTTTATTATAATTTCGTTTTATTCTACCTGAAGATTATCTGGAATGCTTTCTGCACAGATTTGGTTAAAAGACGCGGTGCAGTGTCGAGATTGTGGCTTGGTGTGTCATAAAAAATGCGAAGCGCGTTGTCAGGCATCCGGCACATGCGGCGCGGAGAGTCTTGCAACCCTAGCATTGGAAGCCGATGAGGTCGAGACAAACGTCGGGGATATCTCTAGCCCGGAGATTTCTCTGACTGGATGCGAAGATAACGTACAGGTATTCAAGACATAGAATTTTAGGGCATTTTGTTATCCGCGAGTGTCAATCGACAACATTTTGCGATACTTACATACGATGCTTACATACGAAACAGCAGATTCGGACCAAAAAGGAAAAAGACTCTTGTCCTTTGATATTAGCATCTTTAATATTCATTAATTTTTTCTTTTTAGAAAATATCCATCTTGTTAGTATTTTTTAATATTAAATTTTAATATTAAAATATTGAAAACGTAATATTTATATACTTTACCTTCTAGTCCGATCCTGTGAATCTTGTGATAATTGAATATTAATAATATTATTTTATATATTTTATATATTTTTATTAATTTATATATATTTATACACTGCAATGTTCCTTTATGTTTACACAAATACGCAATTTATAAATTTCATTGCGACATCGATTTAATCGTCAACTGTTTTGCGAATGTTTTATGACTTATAATTTTTTAGGAATCGCACTCTTTGTTCCGTATTATAATTTAAATCTTGCCTAATATTCATATTCTATAAGTGTAAATAAGCAATATCTAGAAATGATACATATATATATATATATATTTATTATTTAAAAATGTTTTTAGGAGTATAGTAATAGTGAACTTAGTTTCGCATTTTAAACATATCCAATTTCTCCGATTATTTTTATTTATTTATTGCTTTTATTCGTCGAGTTATATTAATTGATTATTTATGTGACATCCATTTTCGATGACATACTATTTTGAGTTGATCACGCGGACAGATCAACAAGTATTTATCATTATTACATATCGATGAAATATAAGAGCGCTTGATGACATGTCGTGGTTAAGGGACTGTACAATTTTCGAAAACACACGTGTGTCTTTAAGATGCATTTATCTTGGTATTTTGTATATAGAAAGCAGAGATTGTTAAGCGTGACTTGCATTCTGTTGTTGGCAATAAAACGAACTGAACATATGCACTTCGGGGAGGTGAAGGTTCTTTATAAAGCTTGCACCTTGATCCTTTGTTTTCAAAGAATTATACAAAAGTAGATAAGTTTAATTTATTTTCTGATACAAAATTTATACAAAATCAAACATTTTTTGGTTAAATATATGATCGATAAAGTATGATTTAAACATATATGATATTCTTTACTATTCTATAGAGAAAATATTTCAAAATACTCATTCTAAATACATATCTTTATATTTTTCAACGCAGATTTTTAGAACATTGATGGTACGATATTCAGTAACTTTCATTTCGGTCTAATGTATTTTTAAAGTTGCTGGAAATAAATCGACAAATATAAAGTGTTTCGTTTAAAGTAAAAACTTTGTAGATTCTATACTTTATCGATAAAACAATATTTTATGTGATGAAATAGTATCATCAGTTTTGCACTTTTACTTTATTATTTTATGAATAGTTTGTTACCGTGAATGGTGAAAAGGTATTAATCTATTTGAAATCCATTGCTCGATTAATCAGGGCGCAAGTATGATGGCCATGAAGGCTAGTATAGCTAACACTCTATTGGGCCTGAAGAAGGCTGGAAGTACCAGTTGCTTGGCCCCACCGGCTTCCGGTGTTAATCTGGCATCTCGAAGTCTCCCCCCAAGTCCCTGTGCATCCCGCAAGGTAGAATAACAACACACATTTTTGTTCGCCCGAAGCGGAGAAGAATCATACGCTCGAGCTCCAAAACATATATATAAACATTTTAAAGTGACAATAATAAAATCTAAATGTAATTATAAATTATTGTATATTATTACTTTTAATTAAATTAAAAAACATTGTACTAAAAATACTAAAACTAATACTAAAACAATTAGATTATCTGGATTTGAATATTTGACATCTTACTTTTCCATTTTTTAAATTAAATCTTAAACAATCAAGAAACTGGCAAACTTTTTTTTTATTAATTAATGAATCTTTATGTAATTTGGAATTGCATCAGATCTTCTCCGCTTCATTTTTTTTTCACGTCTTTTCAAGTCGATACCGAAGGAAGAATATGGAAGATATCTTACAGTTCTTATGCTTGTGTTTCATTCGCTTCAATCATTCCTTCATCAATCATGCCTGACAATCGCCATCGAAGATATTTGTTAACTCACACACACACACACACACACACACACACACACACACACACACACACACACACTACAACACACACACACACAC